CCTATGGTGTCCTGCATACGTCTTGAGTGACCCAACACTCTGCAGATACTCTCAGGAGGGCGCGGTGAATGTGGAGCGGAAGCCTTGTTTGACGTAGTGCTTGGCTTTGCAAAGATCAAACTGGCCACACAAGTAGCGACTTAAAAAGATTGCTGAAGTCACTGCTAACTCATTCCCCAGATCGCATGCCAGACTGTTGCCTAGGAGCTGAGGGGATGCTAGCTTTTTTTGGACATGGGGAACGGCATATGCTCCTCCTGAGACTTCCAAGGCAGACGCCCAGAAGTTGCAGTTGTCAGCGACGAGTCGGCGAGGGAAGTATGGTAACAAGAGGTGAAGCAGTGAGCAGCAAGCTCGGACAGCCTAGCCCCACTCTCTCTGGGCACCGGGCTGGAGAAGGTCCCTGAGCCGGTGAGGCTCTCAAGTCCTTGCAGCTTCTGCTGGGGGTTGAGTTCTGGCTTTGTGTCCCTCAGCTCTAGGGTGTGATGGTGCTAAGTTCAATGTCCAGTTGAGGCAGGATGCCCAACAAGGTTTGAGGCCAGAAACTGAAAGGAGCAGAGTCTACATATCACATACGTGTCTGCTGCAAGCACTGAAAGCCATAAGAGGCCCTGTAAAAGGGACTGTCCTGTTGAAACAGGACTATGGCTATGAGCGAAATTGCCAGCCAGACCCGGCCTTCTGCGGCTTCCACAACATGGATGCCATCACAGAACGTCTCGAAGAGCATAGTCGCTGCCACCTTTGGCACATTTCATTGTGGCCAGTAAGTGCATCATGGATGCGAGCTAGCAAGACTCCTCATTTGTGATGACAATTTTTCTTGGAATAAGTTGAACAGTCTCCACGCATTTCTTCAACTTTACGTGCCTCGCCCAATCTCGGAACAGTCTACAAGGATTACGTTGAATACGCCACCATAACAGCTAATTTGTCCCGCCTTGGTGCAGTTGGAGGTGATGCACGAGAACCTTGGTGGCAAAGGTTGCTTGCAGCACTTGCAGCCTCTGCGGCTCGCGTGTTGGGACCAAGCCCTCAGGAAAGGTTTCAATTTTCTGCGGTGGGGTCCTCTGTGATACGAATTACAAAAGCTACACATGTGTTCTGTTCTTGGCAACATGGCTTCGGATAAGGCATTAACGCACTAATGAGTCACAGCAGGTTGAGGGGCAGTGAAAACAGCACGAGCACTTTGTCAATCAGTGCTGCTCGAGCACATGCCGGCAAAACCGTCCAAGGAGACCTTGGTTGGCATGGCAACTTTTTTGTGAGCGAAATCCCTTTGCGCGTAGGCTTGCAACGAACGGGGCAACAGCTCGTCTTTGGGAAACAACTAGAGAGGCCTTTGAACAGCCAGTCCAACCCTGCGAGAAGAGGAACATGAGCCGCCATGATGTTATGCCTCACGTAAACCGATTATGACGACACTATATGTAATCAAAATCCTTGGCCATTGAACGTCTTTTCCGAATCAGATGATGCTGCAGCTTATCAGATGCCAACACAGCTTCATGCAAGCCAACACGACTCCAACAAGTTCTGCTCCTGAGACGGAGCCCAATGGGCGACACGATTGGAGCACGTCTGGGGATATAGACCCTTCGAAATCAGGCCCCCTTTACAAAGAATCGGAAGAGTGTTCTTCAAGGAGCATTGCTAACCCTAACCGCCCCAAACAGGGTCCAGCTAAACAACAGACACAAACACAAAAGTGGTGCAAGCGACGCCATCGGCCGCCGAGCTGTGCATCGGTTGATCGAAGGACACTACAATCTGTACGTTGCCTGCCGCAGGTTCCACTCATTCCACTCCCCTTGCTGGTCCCTCAGGGGCACCATGCACTCTCACACTCGTGCTGCCAGGCCTGCTGGGCCTGAAAGGACAGAAGCGTGGAGAGGTGAAACGGCCACCACGCTGGGCGGAATCGACCTTGCAGCGAGAAAGATGTGCAGGAGACTATCTATCCCCTTAGAACCTTGCCGGCATGTATGGCAATGTATGGCTTTGGGAGGTCGGGAGGCAAGTTGTAGGATATTGGTATTGTTCAACATGGGCACAGGTGATGTGTTGAGATGACCCCAGTCCAGCCTCACCGGACCAGGTGCCAGTGCCACTGCTGCCAGCGGGGGCAATGTGAGTTGGAGACGGCCGCCAGCCTGGCCGAGAATGTTGAGAATGGGACAAGGGAGCTACAAGATGTTGCAAAGATTCCGCGTAGCATCGAGATCCACTCTCCCTTCCCAACTTAGCATGAGCAGGTTGAAGGGTTTAGTCAAGTCTTTGGCGTAGGATCATGTTAGTGGCTGGAAGTGTTACAGGGGGGACAAGCAAATCTACACGTTGTTGCCAAGGCGCTCCCACGGAAAGAGTCATAGCATCTGTCGTGGCGATCATGTCCTGCCAGGTCAGCTGGTGAACGGTTCATGTTGCATGCGTGCATAGTTTGGAGAGGTTAAGGCGGGGTATTGAGTCCGGGATGCTAGCGACTTGTTGAGCTGGAATGGCTCACGCAGTTTTTGATCTAGCTTGGGGAGGCCTGATGTTAAGCACCGTGAAATCAGCTTCGCTGCTACATGCCATGAGTAGGGGCTGCTCAGGATCATGGACCAAGACCTATAGAGGCAAAGAATGCATTCACACAATTAGCCTTTTGATGCCCTCCCGCTGCAGTCCTTGATCTGCGTGTGCTCCTTCCATGATGTCCACCTTGATCGTTTCAGACAGAAGGAGCCCAAGTCATGCTGTTCGCTCGTGTCCACACAGGTTGTTAAGGTCCCCAGGCACCTGAAAGGGATTCTTCCTAGTCCTGGAATGAACTTCTGGAATCCAATCCTGTTGGGGGCTGTATCTATAGATGTTTGGTCCTTGGCGCTGCGGAATTGTGGCAGTTTGGAAAGTCGTGTCCGACAGAATCGAGTGCTGAGAGCATCAACTTTGTACTGACACCTGTCCAAGAATTCCTTTCAGGCTGAGGTCTGTGCCTCTTGCCCCACGCTTTACACATGTCAAGCAGCCACATAGCTACTCATCTGCGAGCCCTTCACAAGCATGCAGATGGAGACTATACCAACCAAAGTGACTACTGCCTTGATCACAGCTAGTTTCATGAAGGCCCAAACATCTTGCTTTGCCGACAACCCTACGCAAACCTCCAACTCAATCCCTTCTGAGCCCCAATAAAGCTGCAAGAAGAGCTACAGCGTAGCTTCCCGCCACTCACTGCCATGGAAATTGGCCAGCACAGCCACCCGGCGCTCCTGGCAAACTTGAGCGGGGCGAAACAAATCCCAATCGGAACGTTAGAACCTGGCCTCCGAGCACCCGCGGATGAAGGCCAACACATCGGGAATGGGTGGGTCTGGTGTCTTCAGCTTGTCGCACCTGGGCATGGCCAGGCTTCCTGAATTCTTCCGAAAACCGCATGCGAGGACACCAAACTCCTAAGTAACTGTAGCAAAGCCAGGCTGCCTTCAGTATTCGCTGGTGAGGGTTGGAGGTGCCAACATACTTAGACATGTCCACTGCTCTCAGCGACCAACACTTAGATCCCTGAGCATTCAGTTGACCGATAGAAGTATAACTGACCAAGTTGGTTGTTCGCAGAAGCTGCAGGTATGGCGCTCTTCACTGCCGAAGCTCCCGAAGTAGGCACGCCGCAGGGCATTGAGGCGTGCGACGAACCTAGAGGTGGCTGGGGATGAGGATCCTTTAGTATATGACATGTGACATACACTATATTATGCATATATATATATAGATATAGATATATGCGCTTGGTGTTGGGTGCGGCACGACCTCATGCTCAGCTTTGCGCTAGGGTTGACGATTTTGATGATCGTAACGATGGTGATGATGGCTGCTACTGATGATGATGATGATGAGATGATGATGATGATGATGATGATGATGAGCAGGAGAATCTGGAGGAGGATAGTGATGGTGCTGCTGCGGCAATGTTTCATGTTCTCACACATGAGCTATAGCCTAAACTCCTAGTATCCCCCTCAATAGCCCCTATAACACTCTCCAATCTAATTCCCCATGCAACCCCCCGGAGTTTTTATTCTAGCTCACATGTACTGGACATGGACAGCGAAGTCTGTCCGCAGGTGCTCCAAGAAGAGAAGGCAGTGTCCCTGAATGGGTCTTGAAACTGTTTGAGGCAACGCTTCCTCCACACTTCTCTGTTCTGAGCCAGTGGCAAGTAATTCCCGGACGTCATGTCGAAGTTGTCGTGGCTAGCGACGTTTCCTCGCGGCAATGTTGAGTCTGCAGAAGTGGCCCTGTAATCCACGAGCTAATACTTCCACTTGAATATAGCTAGATTGGTTATCATGGTGTTCTGGGCACTTGTTGGGCACCGGCTAAAATGTACGGCGCCTCACATTTTGGGGTACCGAAATGGAACCTAATTTTGGAAACCTGATGTCTGGCCCAGCTCTGCAGCCGCTTGTGCGCACCAACCCCAAAAAGAAGAGGGACAAGTAGAACCTGGAGAGAAGGGGTCCCAGCACAACACGGTCAGCAGCAACCCCTGCCCGGATGACAATTCTAGGCAGGAAGCTGGCCTTCCATGTCATTGCGAAGGTAAAGCGTTAAAAAAAAACAACTTTTGACAACTTCTAGTACCCGTGGATTGGTCTAGGTGAAGCCGCAGAACTCGACTTCTACACCGTCTACGAGTCTCAAGTTCATCCTCACAGCGGGACCCAACAGCAGAATTACATTTTGAGCGCGGACTCAAACTATAAAATCTTGAAAAAAGAACAGATAACCACACTCTAGCGCCTGATTGATGCGTCGGCACCGCCTGCCACGCCAAGGAAGCGCCGAGCTCCTGCCAGCAAAGCAAACGCATTAGGTGCAGCCTCTGCGGAACAGCATGCTGTGCAAGTTGGAGGTATGCAGGAGTGTTATGGAACGTGAGGGTTGCCGAGGGCCCACAGCATTCACAACACTTCGGCTGCGCTTTCTCCAATATGGACTGCAGAAACATAAGGCTACTCTGAATGAGGCTTCCGCCCATCAGGCTCATAAGCCTCATGAGATGATAGTGGAAGAATCTTGAGTGTGAGACCGGCCGTACAACCCAACGGCCCTGCAAAACCTGTCACAGTCGGGCATGCCTCGCGGGCCCATCCATCCAGCGCGCTGCCAGGAGAGTCGAAGTTCCTGAGGCGCGTCCCATAAATCGAAAATCGCAAAGGTGCGGGCAACTATCAAGGAACAGGAGAGATGGAGGAACGGGCGCTCAACTAAAAGCAGCCCTTTTCTAGAATGGGCATCACATGCTCGGTGTAACATCGTTGATGTAAGAAGCTCTCAATGCAAACCCTCATAACTCGCTGCGGCTCTGTTCATCGCCAGCATAGTGAAGTGGAATGCCAGGCCAGAATGTGATGATCACAAGGCAGACTTGAAGGTGGCGAGTGCCTGAAATATTGTGCACCACGTATCATGTCATATGCAAATTAGATGGTCATCGCCATGGTGCATCTTTGTGACTTACCGTCTGCTTACCAGTGTGAAGGCATGCGGCAGGTCAGGCTGTCTACAGAACCTGACAGACAAGGAAACAGTCTGCTGGCAACCTGACAGAACTTCGTGCAACTCTACACACCTGAAATTTCGTGAACGTGGCAGTGACACAGCAGCTGTCAACGAACAACTTCTGTAACAGCTGTCGCAGAACAACTCCTCTCATGCATGCACCCCAACCCCACAGCCCACATCTGCAGATGCGAGGAAGCAGCTCGTCATGCTTTGCAAGCGCCAGTTGTCGTGGTTATTGCAGAAATTCCACATGGCGTACTCATGCTGACCACTGGCCTCAGCATCCGCATCAGCACTTTGCCATGACGACCCGCATAATCTCGAGTGAGATCACCCAATTTGTTGTTGATGATCCCTGGCTGACCTCTGCCTCTGGTTGCCACCGTTCAATTATGAGATCGAGCTATGAGTCCTAAGTACTTTCATCCCATGTCTTGCACTAAAGAGTATCGCAGCACAGGTCAAATTCCAAAGAAAGCCAAATGTTGAATAGGCAAGCATGGGCCTGAAATTCCCTGCCAACTCCAAGCAACAGTGTCCCAACAGTCAGCAACAAGCAAGTAGTCAAAGCTCAAAAGCCCCACCAGAAACCTGATCCAATGAAGGCAGGAGGAGCACGCTTGCAAGCCTAGAAGATCCACTCAAAGCGTTTGCGGAGAAATGATTATCCCGGTCCCTTGCCTGGACATGGGCTTTCGGATCTTTCGGCAAGGAAACTGATAATGAGGGGGTCTTGTTTTACGAGCCAGCCCAAACACTGAAGGTAACGCTTGTGACAGATCATCCTGCACAGGCTCGGCAAATAATACCAAGTACCCTGGCCGAGCAGACCCACAAGGACCAACCCGTAAGCAAAGCCCAGACAGGTCTGAGACCAGGAACTGGCTCGAAGACGTCAATCATGCTGCGCTCCTTCCATGTCTTGCGCTGTAACAACCCCAAACTAGGGGCAAGAGCGGCTCCCGCAACATGAACGAGTATTGCTTTTAAAGACATGCCATCTTGCAAAATGATAGTAGAGACTGCTCCAGGACTGCCGTGGCAACCAGCAATTTGAAGTTTTGTTCCGCGCGGCTTCTGATTAAACCCTACCAGGAAGAAGCTCCTGTGCATAAGCTAGGGCAAAGCCGTCGGCGTACATGGGCTGTGCGTACACAAAGGCAGTGAACATGTACCAGTAGTACCTGCTTCGCACGGCGCTTTGAGGAAACGGGCTTTGAGCTCTAACATGCTTGTATCTAGCCGGGTGCCCATGCTGCCCTGAGAGTTGTGCCAAAGAGGCAGTGCCGACTTAGACGTTCTTGCTGTTCAACCTTCCAAGCCTCCAAGCAGTTCAAGGCCTGAAGCAACCTACCTTTTGCAACCACATCAAATATGCAGCCCCTGCATCCTGAGAACCTCAACAGGTTCCACAATTTCTTAGGCCATCATGAGGACCACCACGGGCACGAGTAGACGATCCCACCCTTCATCGTGGCAGGTCCGTCGATAAAGCGGTCTGTGCCATACCTGCATGCAAGTGGGGGGCTAGGTACAAGGTACAATCACGCGTAATCACAAGGAGCTCAAGAAACCAAGTACAACTAACTTCCAGCAGCTGCCGCTGAGATCGATGATGAGGTTATCAGAATCATCACGTCACACAAAAGTGGCCATCATGTGGCTGCAGGCGTACAGGTTGTTGAGGCTTGGGGTGCGAGGGGAGAGCATCGCGGTATCGGTGATAGAACTATATCAACTTTCTCGCTATGAGGTGCTGCGGCTCACGACGTACTGTCTTGGAGTTGCCTGGGCGGTTGTTGATTCTGGCTGACTTAATCCTTGTCCTTGACAAGCTGGTCTGCCCAAAGCTGAGGCCCTGAGGACCAATGCAACCATGCTGCATGGTTTGATCCCGGCCGCGGCCGGTCCTAGGTGGCAGCAGACTCAGCCGATACAAAACGACCGTGAATGCTGACAACTGGGCGCGAACAAGCCCTATGAGCGGCTGCATGGCAAAACGCCGCTACGAGCCCCTGAAAAGCCCAACCTCCTGCAGAGTGTCCCTGGGTTCATTGCCTGTACTAACCAAAATCCGCTCCTTCCCTCCATTGAAGAACCAACACAGAAACAACACAGAAAAACCTCTAAAGAAAGCCCCTAGAACGGAGCAGACAGGGTTCATGGTGGCGTAGCGCTCCGGGGTAACGTAAAATTCGCCGAACAAACCTTGGCAGGCATCAAGCTGCGTGCAAACGCTTGGTAAGACCGGGCTTCAGGAATACGCAGCAGACTTTCCTTTTAAGCACTGCTCGTGTGAGGTTTCGTAGTTGAGATTATAGGGCTTGGCTGGAAATTCTTTGAAGCCTTCCACCAGCCAGGCTTTCAACAAGGTCATCTGTGTGCTGTCAACTCTTGGACGCTGTGGTAACTCTGGGGAAAGCAGCGCATTCGTGCGTGGAAGGTCTGAACAACGAAGATGCAAGCGTCCACCCACTCTTAGCCTGATATACGCTTGCGACATCCCTCGAGGACCCCCACATTTCTTAACCCAGTCAACTTAAAACTGCCCAGGCACCGAAGCTTGCCTTGCCTTAGATGTTCATGCACCGCGGGAGATTCAAAAGGCTTTCTTCAGGCAGGCAACCTTCTGCAGTGCTCCCTCATAAGACGGTTGCGTTGCGTAGGCCCGCAACTAAGCCTTGAAGAATCTGTGCCAAGCAAGTGGCCCAAGGACTTGGCATGGGCTCGCACCGCCGGCGCCCAGGCCTTGTAGAAGTTCAGCGGCACTTGCCTCAGGGCCGGTAGGCGACCAGGCATTGCAAATCCCGGGCTGCTTGGCCGACATCATGTTCGGGAAGTCTGTGGCGTGTTCATGGGGTCCGCATACGGTAAAACGCTGACGTGCAGATGGAAAGCATCGGCGTGTCGACGCGAAAGCCGTCTATGTCGCAGCTGGATATGAGCGCTTTGCTCATGGCCTAGGCCAGCAGCAATAGGCTCTGACAGCCCTGAATTGCAGATGTGGAAGGTTTCAACGTCCCAACGGGTCACTTCTCCAAGGGCCTGGCGATGTATTTCTGCTGTACCCGGCTGTGCTCCAGGCGCAGGTCATCCATGGTGCCGTAAAGCTTGCCTGAGGTCTGTCTCAACTGCTGGAGGGTTTCGGTAGCAAAGGTCTTTGGCTCGATGCTTTAAATCTTGAAAATATTAACTCATCTCTGTCTCTCGATCCAGCTTTGAACAGCTCCACAAAAGCTCTACTGCTACAACTTCTGTGCAGATCCGCGACCGAAGTGAATCTGGAAAGGGTCGTAGTAGTCCTGTGAGCATCATGCTTTAGGGCCATGAGTGGGATAACGGGGCTCCGGGATCACAGCTTGTGAGGGGTGCCTGTCAATCCTTCCGTCTGAAAGACCTCCAGGTTGACGGTGCTGTTCCGCGTGTGTGAGAGATTTTCCGAACCCTCCCCCCCTATACTGGTACTACTGTATTACCGTGTTACCCACCAGCATCTGTTTACTCTTACCATCCCTACAGACTGAAAGGGGCAAGCGGCTCCAGCCTGAAGGAGCCTTAGTGCGTAGCCCCTAAGGTGTCTAAATAGGGTACCAGGTCAAACTCGACCAGGCCCTTGAAAGCAACTTCTTGGCAACTGCATGGCCAAACAACTAGTAGTGCTCTTGGAGCTTTTAAAGCTGCCTGGAGATCCCCGTTGTGGTGGAAATCACTGCTGCTGTAGGTGCCGTGACCTGCAACAGCGAAGTTGACGGCCGGCACGGCAAGCAAAGGGCAAAGATGGGCAAAGATGGGCAAAGCAGCTCGTCAACCAGGTAAGGGTTCGGGTCCAGTTGAAGCATGAGCTAGAAAGCCACAATCCTGATGCTCCCTGGCTGGGGAGGCTGATAGTGAGACATGGACCGGAAGAGACTTGGGAAGTCAGATTCATTGATGCTCTACAGTTTTTTTGTGGGGTTCGAAAAAAACGGCGCCGCAGGTGACACGCTTGGCACCTTGATCCACAGCGGGCTCGCCGTGCTGGCTGTACAACGTGCCTGGCGGGGCTTCCGCTGATCTGCATTCCAGCTTCGGTTTGGCAGGATTCCAGGCTGCAAGATCCAAACGACCTGAACTCAACAAAATCTTAAAAAAGTCTTCCAGCGGAAAAGGCCAAAGGCTGCAAAGCCTGCCATCATCTTCTATGTACACTCCGGGAAGCCTGGGTAGCTAGCTTCCGGGTCCCAGGTGTTGTTGTACCAGAAGTCCATGTACCTTGTCAGGCCAAAACAGCTTTGCACTCCGAATGTGAGCTTGGTAAGATAATATTATGGTGCTTGCACACTGGCTAGGCGAAGTTAGCTGACACAATACCCTGGAGTGACGTTTGGCTTGCTTGTCACCACAGAGAACTATGACCGGCTGCAAGACAGACAATGACAACCCTGCCATAAACATGTGCAGCGGGCTGCATGCAGCCGAGCGCTCTGTGCTGCGGCATTGTGATCTGACTTCCCCCGCTTTCTCCTTTACTCCCTCGTCCCGTGACGTTATCCCTGCCTGTCCCTGATAGCCCGATTGCTTCTATGCAGTCCACGTCCCCTGCCCTCATGTCTTCTCTTCTCCTCTAATCTTCCGCCAGCAATCATTTACGACAAGCTTCGGCTGCCGCCCAGCCGGAGTCCAATGGAGGTCAGCATTTTGCCTCGCAGGCTACAAATCCTTGTAAGCGGAATTTGGGGAAGCATTCGTGCTATGCTCAGGGTCCAATGCTGGCTTTCCGCGAGGAATCGATAGTCTAGGATGTGGCAAGATGGGTGCCCATCACAGGATTGCCAGTTGACTGCCTAATCAATTCACTGGGCAACGCATAATGTCCAATTCTGGTGTTCTGTTCAACCCTTGTTTTGAACACCTCCCTGTTGGAAACCCTGGAGGCATGCCCCCAACAGGACCAAAGACGTGATGTGGCCGCCTCCTCGGCCGCAGGTGATACTCCCGCGCGCCGTTGTCCTGCACCGTTTTGGGGGCTTTGGCACGCAAGGGAACAGAAAACACATTATGACACTGACTTGGTTCAGCGGATAAAGCAGCACCCTAATGATTTTCAAGTGCTGGACTTTGCTGAGCTTTTCATGTTTAGGAAAATTTCGGGCTGCCAACCGGGGCTCAAAATGACCTGCACAACAGTCAGGCTGGACAGAAGCATCTTTCACAGAACTTGTTTACGCTATTCTTTGATGGGGCTGCAACACTTGCATGTTGGGGCCTAATTAGTCTACTAGATCACTACATTCAATAGGACGAGCGCTGCGGAGCGCAGTAGCAATGTCAAATCAAATCCAACAAGAGGGGAGTTGCGGAGCTCAGTAGATGTTTTGAATCAAACTAACTGTTTTGAACTAAATTCAATAGGAGGGGCGTTGTGTAGTGAGCCTTTCAAAGCCCAGGGGACCCTAAAATTTCGGACAGGACCCAAGCAGAGGAGCTGCTGGACAACCCCTTGCAAAAATGATTGCCTGGCCTCCTCGAATACGCAGTTTCAACGAAATCGATAAATTTGGACATGGCCTGAAACCTGAAATCCTGAAACCTAACATTCTAGTAAGAGCAGGTGAGATTAGGACCCCATTTACTGCGCGAGGCTGGCAGGTTAGGTGAGACGGAATTATCCATAGTTTAGCAAGCAATTGATTTCATGCTACCTAACTCTCAGAAACTCATTTTAAGCCGTGCAACTTTTCATGATTAAGGCCCCCCCCCAAACGAATCAGCGTGTCCCGAATATTTTCGGCCAAACCTTGCACAATTCAGGCTCCCCGTACTAATCGGGACTCGACATCACCAGGATCGGCGTTTCTTGTCAGGGGTTGTACCCAGTCCGCAACGAGCGAGAGTCTAAGACAACCTGTTGCCAACCCAAGCGTTACTCCAAGATGGCGCGGGGATCCTCGTGGATCCTCCAGGGAGCCTGACCTCCTCGGTGGCCCTCGAAGAAGAACTCATTGCCCATGTGGTTCATCACCACATCTACAATCACCTCGGCCGTGCAACAGCGGGAGGAAGTCAAGAGTCGGAGATCTTGAGGTTTAGGGCTTCAACGATCTTGCAAGGTGCCGTTCATTCATGGCTTGCGGCAAGCCATCTTTGTTGGTGCTGTCTGAACAAGTTGCCGTTCCCCTAGCAGGAGGCTGGTTGAACAAGGGAGGAAAATTTGACTTGATCACGTGATTGCAAGGGGCTCGGTAAGGGGCCAGGGTCTCGGCAATCCCAGAGCTTTCCAGTGTACAAGGACGAGACACAAACATCCCCAGCCGGTGCGCTTCGTCTGCTAGCTGACGCAGTTCCTCCAAGGTTCCCAGACGCCTTGCCAAGAAGTTGGGTTTAGGGTGTGAACGCCTCAAGATTCGACAGCCTATGAGGGCTCTCCGGTTGGAAGCTTGCTTGTCCTAGTGCCTATAGAGGTCCCATTCAACATCTTGTGCATGTCAAGTGGCCGGTAAGCATAGCTATTAAATTTGCAGGTCTCCTGTGCCCAGACCCGCTTTTAATTCGCACTCACCAGAGCAAACAGTAAGGAAGCTGCTTTGGTTCATGGTCTCGCACCAGCTCTAGTCGTTCTCGCAAATTACGCACCATGCATTGCAAACTCGCATCCTGACAGAATACAACATCTGTTGAACCATCTCTAAGACCCGCTGTAAGTTGCAGAACAAGACACTGGTCCAGCAGTGTGAAGTCGGTCTGAGAGTACTGGTGATACGAGTTGAAACCATTCCTTCGAACTCTCACATGCTCCGAGCTCATTCATTTCTTCGGGACTTCGCAGCGGATTCTTATTTGAGGAGCAGAGTCAGAGTGCCGTGCGAGCTTCCGACCGTACGCCGTCAAACGCGCGGAATTGGAATTGGAGCAAAGTGTGCAAACACATGAAAGCAACTGCTGGGAACACATGTACGCACATGCTAGCAGAAGGATTGCTACAGCACCGGAGCGGCCACACAACACCTGTAAGGTGCCCAGGGTTGAATTCAGGAAGTGTGAAGAATCAGCGGCACAGCTCTATACTCTATCCCTGTCGCTGAAGTAAAAAAACGGTAATTAAAAACGGCACGCCGTGGTTTCAATCAATCTCCGACTCCGACCTGTACCATTCTTTTTTGGTTCCAGTCTTTCGAGACGTGACTATCATGAGAACAGCGGCAGTTCCAACCTTTGCCTAGAGGCCAGAAAAATTGGGGCTATCGTGCTATTCCCGCTGCACCCCGTGCTACAACAAGCCCTCCACAATCTCGGATTCAAGGGAGTCCGAAGTCAACACAAGTCTGCGCCCGACCTCTCAAGAAATGCAACCAATGAGCACGTGCAAAACATCGGAGTTGGACTCCCAATCTGCCCAGGCTCTGGAAGATGGGCGAGATCCAAATCGCTTGGCAGCCCAAGCCCTTGATGTATGGCAGTTTCTGTGTCCTTGGCTCACAAGGCCAGGAGTTGCTGAATCGCTTCGGGCAGCGTAGCTCATTCAGGTTCGGGCTTTTTGAGATGGCTCACGACTGAAATGTGTTGTCCTGAAGACAAGACCCGCAAGTGAACCGCACGTAAATAATTGAAGGCCAGTCTGACGAAGAATGTGGGTGTTACAGCAGTTTGAATCCGTAGCCCCAAATCCCCAAAGCAGGCTCTCCCAAAGCAGAACTTGACTGATGGGCTGATAGCGCCTGGATAGTTGCTGCACACCGAAGTAGCTGGAACTGCTAAAAGATCAAATGACAAGTAGACAGATTGGGACGCGTTGTGTGTCAATCCATCGGAATCCTACTCAGTGTACAGCCATCGAGCATTTTGCTCCAATCTCAGGTACTGCTTCTCGGCAGAATCTGAGCCAAGGTGCAGGCCCAAGAAGTCTCCGCCGTGCCTGTACCTCAGCGGATGTCTCCAGAGTTCTCTTCAAGGTTCCTAGGTCATGGCGCTGGAAACAAAGCTCTGCAGCCTGCACTCTAAGGCCACCATCACCCAGAAGACTGGAGACTTTTAGCCCTGCTCTGCATATTTCGGAAACATTGGAGTGTAAAGCTCAATCCAAATCATCCTCACAAAATCAGCGCAGAGTCGCGTCATGTCTCGAACGTCGAAGCCTGCGAGCTGGAATGCTCGTGTAGCACAGTTTGCAAACAAATCAGCATCCAAGTGCGAAGATGCCCTCTGGGAAAAAAAACACGTCGAGATGGATACTGCGCAGACTGCGCATGCCTCCTTGAGAAACATCGTTGTTGCGCGGATCACCATCGGCGAACCGATCTGTAATCAACCTCGGAACGAGCCGGAGCTTCAGCGCTTGAGTGTCACATCCCCATGCCATCTATAAAATCTATAATAAGGCCTGCAGGAATCGCAGAGGCTGGGCATCGCCAGCCTGCTCTACTCTTACGCCGTACTACACCTTCCGACACACAGGGTAGGGTGTAGCAAAAGATATTGACAGACTCGGAATGCCAGGCTTGATACTATGGCATTCACTAAAACGACGCAAGTGCCATGCTGCTGAGTCTTGACCAACATGGGCTTTGGGGAAGTTGCCGTGAAAGTCGCGAAGCCAGCCACAACCATCAGCCAATGTGAATGACCCTCTAAACAACTAAACAACAAAATAAAACATGTACTTGTGACGGAGTCGGCTGACTGGTAGATGGACAGCGAGCGCCAGTCGCCGGGAGACGGAAAGTAAGTGTGATTTCTCCACTCACCTGAGAAAGCTGGTCAAGACCCTTGCGTGATGGACACCATAATCAGATTTCATCTCAACAGCTCACAAGCCTACCTACCTTGATGAACCATCACCCCTGCGCACTACTCGCTACTCCAGAAGAACCTCTCTGGAAGCTTCAGTCTTTGACCCAGAGCCAACCTAAATGCCCGGCCTCTATAGCTTTCCGGCGCATGGCGCTCCTGACGTTTGCCACAGCACGGACTCACAGCTGTAGAGTGTAACGGCTTTCATTTGGAGAATAAACGATGTGAAGAAACCTTCTGAATTCAAGACTCCGGACAAAAGCCTTAATCTATCTTGTCGCACGTTTGTGAGATGCCTCCCTTACATGTCGTGAGATTATCCAGTGTGATAAGATCTGGCAGCTGAGACAGCTTCACGGACACGAGTTGCATCAGCCCTGATGAAGCAAGCTTGCGGGTTCGACACAGAGACGACAGCTGCACCTCGGGGCCTATAAACACACTTACCTTATCGTCCTCGAGGTTGACGTTCCACTTCGCA